GGTTGTCAACGGCTCCGCCCCTGCTGTCTGCGGTGAGTCCTCTGATAGCGAGAGTCCGAACTGGTGGGGCGATACAGGGCCGGTTGTCCAACCTCTCCCTCCCCACTTGCCGTCTTCTCCCAGGCGTGGGAGATTTGTAGAGGGGAGGCCCAGACTGGCCCTGCCTCTATAAAGCCAGGCCCCTAAAAAGCATGCAAGTCTATAAAACCAGGTGAGAATGCAGGACAGCATCTTTTCCTGCGTGAGGGCATCCACAGGGACAGGCTGACCTCTAATAGCCTTTTCCTTTACCCTGTTTTCTCAACAGCACTTCCCACTGACCTGCTGAACTCTGAAATTATCTTGTTCCTTGGCCCTCATGCTTGCTGCTCTTTCCTCCCTCGGCCCCCCTATCCATGACCTGTGACGTTCACTAGGGCAGGGATTGAGTTCTGTCCCCACTGGGCTGCCCATGCCTGAAACAGTATCTGGCACACTGTGGACACCTCCTAAATATTTCTGATTCGTTTCCTATCGGCTTCTTTTCCTTCTGTCACCGTTGGGATTTGGGGGGACCTGGGCATGTCATCCAAAGGAGAAAGATATGACTGTATGTTCCGGTAAAGATTTAAGGTCTCAGAAATCTAAAGGACCGGTTCTACTCTATCCTATGGGGTCACTATGAGTCTGAATCCCCTCCACAGCTGTTTGTGTTTTCCATCTGGGCATGTCATACATCAGTCAGGGAATCTGTCCCCTCCCCGGTGAGTGGCAGCAACCTGCTCCATTCTGAGTGTCTGAAGTGCCTGTGACTAAGGACCGATCTGATGGGGTTAAGGAGGAGCAGAGGTGGTACCACCTGAGAGGGGCAGAAGGCGAGAAGGGGTGGGGCGGGTGGTCACTGGGAGGAGTGGTGGGACCTCGAAGGACTAGTTAGGGCAGCGTAGAACCAGTTCTGGATCCAAAAAACAGGGCTTGATTCCTGGTTGCTTCACCTCCTGTCCTGGCTACCTTGACCTTGGGCTGGTTATGTAATGGTTCTGAACCTTGATTTCCCTAGCTGCATAATGGGATGGCAGTTGCACCCACCTCATTGGATTTTGAAGTTTACAAAAGTCGCCAGGCCTGACACTAAGGGGAACCACTTCCTGTCTTGTTCAGAGGTGGAAAGCGCCTTCGTGCTCCTCTCCCCCTAACCTGCCTGCCTTCCGGAGCAGCACTTTAGCAAAAGCTTGTCCACCGTGCATAGGTTGGGACCCCTGAAGGAAGACCACTGGCCTTCTCCCTGTTAGCTCATTGATCCCAAGACAGTTGCGTCAGCAAAGACTCTCTTGTCTGGGACACACACCACCAGAAGGGTCGTGAACCAATGTCGGGGTGGGGGTGGGTGGGGGTAATTAACAATTCAGAAAGGAGAGTTGTCACCATGGGAACAAACCAGAGCTTTCTGGACTTCCCCACTTGACACCCTTGTTGTTGTTAGGTGCCCTTGAGTGGATCCCAACTCAAGATAACCAGTGCAGACCCGGATGAAGCACTGCCTGGTCTGACGCCATCCTCACAATGGTCATGTCTAGCCCGTTACTGCATTCACTGCAGCCGTCAGTCCATCTCATCAAGGATCCTCCTCTTTTTTTTTGGCTCTTTAATTTACCAGGGGCTGGTTTTTCCTGATAGCCTGTCCAAAGCACATGAGACGAACTTTTGCATCCTCACTTCTAAGGAGCATTCTGGATGTACTTTGTCCAGGACAGATTTGCTTGTTCTTTTGACATTTCGTGGCACTTCAGTACTCTCTGCCACGCAAATACATCCATTTTCTGCAGCCTTCTTTATTCATTATTCAGCTTTCCCCTGCAAATGAGACCATCGAAAATACCATGGTTTGGGTCCCGTGCACCTTAAGCCTCAGAGTGACATCTTTGCTTTTAAAGAAATCTCCTGCAGATCTGTCCAGTGCAGTGCAGCCTTTGATTTCTTGACTGCTGCTTCCAGTGTTGTTTGTGGATCCAAGTGAGATGGAATCCTTGACAACTTCGATCTTTTCTCCTTTTATCATGATGTCTACTGAGCTAGTTATGAGGGGGTTTTCTCTTTCAGTTGCAATCGACATGGGAGGCTGTAGTCTTTGATTTTCATCCGCAAGTGCTTCAAGTCCTCTTTTATTCAGCAATAAAGCAAAAAGTCAGCATAGCGCAGGTTGATGATGAGCCTTCCTCCCATCCTGATGCTGTGTTCTTCATATAGTCTAGCTTCTGGGAAGATCTGTTTAGCACACAGGTTGAATAAATGTAGTGAAAGGATATAACCTTGATGTACACCTTTCCTTATATTAAACCACACAGTATTTGCTTGTTCTGTTCTAATAACTGCCTCTTGGGCCATGTACAGAGCACCGTCTTCAAAATGTTTTCCACGGCTTGTTATGATGCACACAGAATGCCTTTACATTGTCAAGAAAACAAGCACAAGTAAACATCGTTGTGATATTCTCTACCTTCGGCCAAGATCTATCTGACATCAGTAATGCTATCCCTTGTTCCGTAACCTTATCTGAATCCAGCTTGCTTCCTGTCGATGGACTGTTGAAAGTTTTTGTGAATTATCTTCAGCAAAATGTTCTTGCATGAGTCATCCGTGATATTGTTCAATGGCTTCCGCATTCTGTGGGGTCACTTTTCTTTGGAATAGGCACAAATATGGATGTCTTCCAGAAGGTTGGCCGGGTAGCTTCTTGGCATAGACTAGTGAGTACTTCCAGTGTTTCATGAGCTTGTTGGAACATCTCAATTGGTATTCCATCAATTCCTGGGGTCTCGTTTTTCACTAAGGCCTTCAGTGAAGCTTGGACTTCTTCCATTAGTACCATCCATTCTTGATCATCCACTACCTCTTAAAACATCCTAGTATTTTAAGATATTCATTTAATGTAGAATTATTAACATGGCAGAACCATCGCTTCACCAGCACTTAGGCTTCCGAAGGTCTTACTCTTGTTTGCTGAGAGTGAGAAGAACTTGAAGCACTTGCTGATGAAGATCAAGGATTGCAGACTGCAGTATGGATGACAACTCAATGTAAAGAAAACCCAAATCCTCACAACTGGACCAAGAGGTAACATCACGATAAAGGGAGACAAGATTGACGTCAAGGATTTCATCTTGCATGGATGCTCAATCAGTGCTCATGGAAGCAGCAGTCAAGAGGCCTAAAGACAAGTTGCATTAGGTAAATCTGCTGTACAAGACCTCTTTATAGAGTACTGAAAAGCAAGGATGTTACTTTGAGGACTAAGGTGCACCTGATGCAAGCCATGATATTTTCAATGGCCTCCTATGCGTGTGAAAGTTGGACACTGAATAAGGAAGACCAGAGAAGATTGATGCATTTAAATTGTGATTCTGGTGAAGAGTACTAGAAATACCACGGGCTGCCAAAAGAACAAACAGAGCTGTCTTGGAAGAAGTACAGCCAGAGTGCTCCTTAGAGGCAAGGACGGTGGGGCTTTGTCTCGTGTACTTTGGACATGTCAGGAGAGACCAGTCCCTGGAGAAGGACAAAACGCTTGGTACAGTAGAGTGGCAGCAAAAAAGAGGAAGCCCTTCCACACATAGATTGACACAGTGGCTACACTGATGGGCTCAAATACAAGCACCATCGTGAGGCTGACACAGGACCTGGAAGTGTTTTGTTGTGCTGTGCACAGGATTGCTGTGAATTGGCACCAACACGGTGACGACCCTTAACAACAACAAGCAAGGCCTGAACATGGCTCTTGGCAGGCCTTTCTCATTTTGCTAATGCTTCGCATCACCCTGGTAGGCGACCTTTTGCCAAAAACATCAGGCAGGGGTGGCCTTGTGTTTTGGTGGCAACAACCTTAGTAAATCTGGAATGTGTTCTGGATGCTATACATGAGAACAGAGCTGCTAGTAGCTGTGAACTTTGATTGGGCCTTTGAGAATATCACTAGAAATGTGGCTCAGTAGACCTTTAAGTTTCAACTTGCCTTAAGAGGGCGAGTTTGGAGCCAGTCAGCTTCACTTCAAACACTCCTGCACCCTCCTCCCAATTGTTAGGTTTGAGCCCCTTGCTGGTCGCGGCCTTGGGAACCTTACAGGGTAGTTCTGCTCTATCTTGTGGGGTCTTCATGGGTCGGAATCAACTCTATGGCAGTGGGTTTGAGTGGGTTCAAGTGCTCAGTACACCCAGGACTTAGGGCCACTGCGTGTGTGACTTAGATGATCATAAAGCCTGAACAATGGTGAAAATAGGCATGGCCACGCCCATAAGTTGGCCACCTGCCCATCGAAAAGATCTTTAAAAAAAAAAAGGCCATCACTTACATGTAAGTACCGGTCTCTTTTTAAAAAAGAAATCATCTCTATGTGACCAGATGCTCAGCAATGACTGTAGAACAGACGGGAGGATGCAGGGAAACCAGATGGACACAGACCAATCAGAATGGAGGTGAGAGCACTGTGATCACACAGTGTGTGGAGCAGGTAGCCAACTGCATTGGGCAACTGGTGTGGAACTTCTTGAATGGGAGCCGACACGGCTGTGCAAACTCACTGGAAGCACAATGAAATCTTCTCAGACTAGACTTTGATAACAAGACAGGCAACAAGCAAGCAATCCTACCTCTTATCAAACTCAACCCAACCCACAGCCAGCCAGTCAGGTCCAATGCCTGGTGACCCTGTAGGACAGAGGGTGATTGCCCCACAGTGCTTGCAATGCTGTGAACTTTACAGGAGCAGACAGACCACTACCTCTTTTTCTGCCAACCTGATGCTTCACCCACAGCACCACCAGGGGCCCTTAGCATACCGCTCCTAGTGAAATAAAACCTGATGTTCACATTAAAACTCATTGATAACTGTTGACCCTGGCTTTACCTGTAGTTGCTGAAAGTCAAAACGTCCCCACTGGTGAGTGAATAACTCACTGACTGCCATCCAGTCGGGTGCGACTCAGTGCGACTGTGTAGGACAGAGTAGAAC